CAATAAACAAGGGTGTGCATTCATCGGCTTGTGTGGCAGTTATGATTCCTTTTGTGTACTTTCCCAGTAATGGAATTGCTGGGTCAAATTGTATTTCTGTTTGCAACTTTTTGAGAAAAACACCATACAACCTTCCATAGTGGTTGCACCATTTTACACTCCCACCAGCAGTGAAAAAGGGTTCCAGTTTCTCCGCAACCTCACCAGCATTTATTGTTTGCTTCTCTGTTAAATTTTGCTATTCTTACTGGGGTGAGATGACATCTCATAGTTGTTTTCATTTATGCCATTTTTAAGGCTCCTAAATTTCTGTCTACTTTTTCTGTTTAATGGTTTTCTAAATTTTAGGTTTCAGTTACATTTTTTTCTGTCCTCTCCAGAAGGTGTTTTCTCAGTTTTTACGTTACGAACAGGTTGAGAATTTCCAAATCTTTTAAGTTCTAGTTCCTTTTAAACAGCTTCCATTCATCTTGTTCCTCTGGCATTTTACTGTAAGCTACTAGGATAAACCAGGCTGCACCTTCCACGCCTTATTTAGAAATCCCCTTTTAAATATCCAAGTTCTACTTTCCATTCAAAGGAAAGTTCAGAAGGAGCCTCTGGTGGCTGATTGGTAAGGAGTTGTACTGCCAACCCAAAGGCAAGTGGTTCAAATCTACCAGCTACTCTGAGAGAGAGAGATATGAGTAATCTACTCCTGTGTGATTTCTAGTCATGGAAAACTTGCTGGAGAGTCAGCTGTGAATCATTTTTGACTCGATGGTATACAACAACAACAACAACAACAATTCTTTCCACCCAATGGTACAACGTAGTTCAGTAAAATTCTCTGCCACTTTAGAACAAGGACTGCCCTTTCTTTAGGGTCTAGAACCTATCATTTCCTTCTAAGATCTTATAAGAAGCACCTTTAGCATTCGTATTTACAAGAACTTTCTGTTTATAATGATATATGTATTATTCCTTAAACCATTAGAAAAATGTTTTCAGTTCTCTCTTAACCTAAACGAGACTCATCTTTGATATTTGAAATTTTACCAACAGCAATCTCTTCAAAGGAACCTAAGGTTTTAGTATTAAGTGCATGAGAATTCTTCTAGTCTTCATACCTTACCAAAATTAGATGCACATTTTCAGACAATTTCTAGAGTAGAACACCTTGCCTGTCAGTGCCACAACCTGCATTAGTTTTACAAATCTGCTGTAAACCCAGCAACCTAAAACAACAGAAAACTACTCTCTCTCAGTTCTGAAGTCTAGAGGTCTGATGAGGGAGGGTCATGCTGTCCGTGAAGGCTCTCGAGATCGCTCCTTCATCCTCTCTTCCAGCTGGTGGTGCTTCCTGAGGATACTCGGCTTGTGGCAGCATCACTCTGTCCGCCTCTTCTGTCAAGTGACCACCTTTTCTCTCCGGTGTTTCTTCTCCTGTTTTGTCACGACAACACTCATGCTAAACGAGGAGTCTTCCTACTCCAGTCTGATGTCATGTTTAACTCTAAAGTGTTCAAAGATCCTATTTCCAAACAAGCCACTTTTGTAGATCTAGGAGGTAGTACTTCAATCAATTTGTTGGTGGGGAGGGTGTTCACACAATTTACTCCATAGCATCCTCTCACAGCACCCAGCACACACTGCACCCCTGAGGTCTGCTGCTCACAGGCTCAGGACTCAGAGTATCCGGTTCCACCTCACTCTGGGTCACTAACTCTGGGCTCTTGGGTGGCTCCCACAGACTCCTGTGCTTTCATGTTCTTACTGGGAAGCATTGTCTAGGCCATTGTCAGGCACACTTCAACCTTGGGTGGTGGACAGCAACACTAGGAGATGCAGGTGCTTCTCTGGGTGGCCCTCTACCCTTCCTTCTCTGGATTTGGGCATCTGTGGCCCTCAGGGGATGGGATCTCTTGGGAAGGTTTGTTCTCACTTGGCCTGGGTCAGACAAGGGAAGGAAAAGTCAGACTTGGGAGACGTGCCCTAGTGGTAACATTGGAAGACTTCATCCCTGATTCCCACATATCTCA